CTTCCCCATTTTTTAGCAGGGGGTGTTATTTTTTTCATCCCAAGGTCTTATACCTATGTGACATGGGCTCCCCCATGGTCTTTACCTGGAATGTCATGGGCCCCCCATGGTCTGATATCCAACTGCCACGGGCTCCCCCCGGGGTCTTCCATGCAAGTATCACAAAGAAAACTAGCAAATCACATATCACATAACCAACTAGTATACCACATATCATATAAACAACTTGTATACCACATATCACATAAACAATGCATATAAACATATAAGGATGATGTGGTCTCCCTCTAGGGTCTTACTCCAGGATGTCGTGGGCTCCCCCAGGGTCTTACACTTATATGTCATGGGCTCCCCCATGGTCTTAACTATTTTCCATGGGCTCCCCCATGGTCTTTACCTGGAATGCCATGGGCTCCCCCACATGGTCTGATATCCAAGTGCCACGGGCTCCCCCCGGGGTCTTCCATGCAAGCAACACAGAGTCAACTAGCATACCACATATCACAGAAATAACTAGCATACCACATAACACATAATAGCTAGCATACCACCTAACACATAATGGCTAGCATACCACATAATACATAATGGGTCGGCCTTGGTGCCTTCGACCCATTGGTATGGTGACGAGACTCACCTCACACTGCCGAAGTCCCGCGGATAAAACCCTAGCTGTTGAATGACAGACTTCCGAACTGTCCATATCAAAACAACACACAATTAATAATTGGGTTCCAATACATAACCATAAGTCCATGCTTAGGGTAAAAGACTATTTTACCCCCAACCTAGCTTGATCCAAGCCCAAGGCCCAAACACACACTATGATGGCCCACAAGTCAAACAATGAACCAAAGCCCAACATATGGCCCAATTTTCCAAATTGGGACCAAACCTCTACATGTTCTTATCTTAAGGCCCAACCATTTATTCTAGTCCAACCATTTGGCATTCCGATGGTCCAATATCTCATAATCATCAGGGCCCACTTATAGCCCACCTATGGAAAATTGGGCCCAAGCCTTTCCAATGGGCCTTATCCTAGAGCCCAATAATTTCCTTAGTCCATAAAACTGTTCCTAATTGGCCCACGAAGGCCCACAGCAACTTAGTCCAAGAAATGGTCCAACAAGAACCCAAACACCTAAGCCCAAAAGAAGGCCCAACTTGACACCCAATCATAATTAGGGGTTTTCACATAAAATGACGATTAGGGCTAAGTGTTTTTACTTAACCAATTAATGTCTATCACCCCACTAGGCCAACATACAATGTAATCAGGCATAAGTCAAAATCCCAAATCCAACGGTCCAACGCGGGTCCCAACAAATCCAAAACTCACATTTCCAAAATTAGGGTTTTCTAAACCCTAATTAGGGTTCCCAACCAAATCACAAGCCAATTAATCCAATAGTTAAACTTTTACATTAATTAAAGTCTAATAAGTCGGGTACCACCCACTACCACCTCGGGCAGTCGTGGTTGGCGGTGGTTCACGGCGGCAGCCATCACCTCACGGTGGTGGTGATTATGATTTTAGGTCAAAACAACACCAAAAGCACTCCAAACATCAATCCAAACGCACCCGAAAGCCCACAACCACCAGAGATGGTGGCTAGCATATCTGGGTCTATTTCACCCCTACCACTACCACATAATATCCTATCATATAAGCACATAAATCACATACTGCCTAGCATATCTGGGTGCTGGGCTACCCCTTCGGTCTTTTTCGACCGGTTACGGGGTCTACTTCACCCTTACCACTACCACGTAAAAACATAGCATACAAGTACATAAATCTCAACAGATATTGGCATAACAGACAATTATCACAAAGACTATCATCTCTATTGTAAACAACTACTAGTGGGCCGACATTGGTGCCTTCGACCCACTTCTACCGAGAAGGTAACTCACCTCGAATACTGGAAAGTAGCCGAACAGTCCCCGACTTCGAATATCAACCCAACTCAATCCCCATAAAAGTGTCGTGGATGAGGCAAGGATTCTGGATCTATAAGCTCCTTCTTGAGTCTTCAAGCTTTTCCTTCTTCCAATGGCTTCAACACACAACAAAAACACCCAAAATGGATCACAAACTCTCACAAATGCCTTAGGGTTTCGAAATTTAGGGTTAGGACAGTGGAGGCTGGGAAATAAGGCCAGCATGAAAGGTTTAAGGTGTTTAAATAGGGTGCAAAACCCTGGAATTAGGGTTTCATTTTACCCAGCCAACTCGTCGAGTTGAGGTCTGCCAACTCGTCGAGTTGGTCACCAAAACACGCGGTCCAAAATGTCTGTACTCGATGAGTCTGCGGCCTCCAACTCGTCGAGTTGCTCTATAAAATGAATAATTTATAAGTTAAATACATACCGGGAACCAGGAGTTATATAGATGGATATAGATATAGATATAGATATAGATAGATTGTCAAGATCATATGTATGCGCGAATCATAGGTACATGTTTCGTATATTGTTTCTCATCCGTTGTGTTTTGATATTGCCTTTTGGGTCGAGTTTCGACAGTTTTCTTTTGTCAGTTTGTGGGAATGGATTGTGTTCATTAGGGTCGGTATGGATATGTTGCCAACTAGTCCGATATTTGGCTAGGTTGGGTGGCCTACCCGGATACACCATTAAAAATTATATATATATATATATATATATATATATATATATATATATATATATATATAATAGGACGATTCGATTCATCAAATTTAAGTGAAGACAAACTCAATTTTAAGTAAACTTGCTAATCACGAGAAAAATGTGTTTTATTATAACTGAGTATATATATATATATATATATATATATATATATATATATATATCTATATATATAGGCCTAGGTTATTCTATTCAAAGTAATTATTGTGTTATCGTATGCATAAATATGGGCCAGTAATTTTAGTTATTTTAAGAAAGTGATTAATACATATTATTGAATTAAAAATAATCAAATAATACCATCTAATTTAACTAGAAGGGTATTTTAGTCAATTAATATAGATTTAATAAAGGAAATTTGCATATTTTAAGGGATCATAGATTCTATTAATTTTAAAAATCCGAATTTACGAATTATAAGGTTTTTAATTCGGACATTCTGACAGAATATGTTTGAGTATGTTAAAAAAAAAATTCTAGAACCAAAAAATAATAAAAATATTCTTGAACATATTTCTTGTAGAATAACAAATTCTCGAATCAGCAATTGAAGAATTAAAACAAAAATTATATTAATTCTTATAGAATACATGTAACAATTGCTAAGAATTACATTTGTTGTTAAAGAATAACACTAAAAAACTGTCAAATCGGGAAAAAAAAACATCAAAATCTAACAAATACACTAATTTATTCTAAAAGAATAATGTTGGTAAGAGGCGTCGTTCAAATTTCGTGGCCCGTTCTTCAAGCATCAGCTTCTGTGGAAAAAAATCCAATGAATAAATTAGTGAGAAAATATTCATATTCCATTCCAGCATGAATGGAATTCGTGATTCCATTTTGATAGAATTGGAATTCATTTACCAATAATTATATTAATTTGGGGCATTCTAACAGAATATGTTCATGATTATTATAAAAAACATTCTTTTCTGATAGAATATTATAAACGAAGAAATACCATTCAGTTGAAACATTTTACCGAGCGCTTGGTGTGCATCAAAACAACTTTCAATTTCCTGTAAAAAATTAGACAATCAGAACAAATTCCCAATAAACCTAAACACATCGAGTCTATCAGAAAACCATTGTACCTTACATTCGTCTCTATCAGATTATCGTTAATCTATGCCTTGGAGCTTGTAAATGTAAGCAATTTTGCACAGGTTTCGTTCGATGTCATCATTCAAGACTGTATTTTTGAATCATCCAACAGAAGATTCCTAATTTCGTACATTTTTATTGGGGATTTCGTTTGGGATGGTTCAAATAACGAAAACTAGGGCTTTTCTGCCAATTCGAACTCAAAGAACACCTGATCGATCGGCCTACATGTCTATGAAATACTAAATGCTAACAGATTATACAAACTGAGCATTCGTCACTGCAAATAAAACTGCTTATTGATATGACTAATATCTATTAACAGCCTCGATTAACTCAGAGAGCAGAGCACAAAAAGCGGCAAAACCTGAAATCAGAATCGACCTCCCGTGCGCAGAATTGACATCGAAGGCTTTCTGATGGCCGAAAGTCGGAAGAAATCGGAGACAACGACGGCGGATAGAACAGGCCGCAATTCTTTGCAGTGCATGAGTTGGTCTTTTCCTGGCCACCGCCAAACCGGGACGAAAAAGAGTTTTAAGACGTTATTGGTGTCGACAAGATCCGCAATTGATCCGCCGGTGACAGGTGGCGACTGGCACGACGCCACGGGGACGTGATCCACAGGTTACGATGCCCTCCTTGAATCTGCCGGAGTCGATGAATATAAGAGAGGAGGGAAGAGGCGGACTAGAAATTGGGTTTTAAAACTGATATCCCTAAATTAAAGGGATATTAATTGATTTATATATTTACCATAATTAATTAAATATAAGATTACATATTTACCCTTTTGAAATGATTGACCTATATTTACTCATACAATAACATAATAATTAGTTTAAACAAATGAACCTAGCTCTCTCTCTCTCTCTCTCTCTATATATATATATATATATATATATATATATATATATATATATATATATATATATATATATATATATATATTCAGAATTATTTGTTTTATTGTATTTCGCTTTTTGTTACACTATAGGCTAGTGAACCACGTAAAACCATTCACACTCGTTATCTTATTGATTTATCATTGTTGTATACATAAAACATACCCAACACATATTAAAATGGTTAAAAAATATGATCGTTAGAGTTTATTATAATTAGTTATACCGTATCGATAGGGTAACGTGAATAATGACACCACTATCTTGGTGTCCATATAAATACACGATTTGTTTCAATTATGCAACCTTAAGTGTCTTTTTAATTCTAAAGACAAGTTTAAAAAAATACATAATGGCTTGCATAATGGCCAAGTATGTCGAGTCACACATGATTGCCTTCTGGTTAAGCTTTCTTGTCCTTCTAGTTTGTGATGAATGTAAGTTTTTGTCATTATTTGAGTTTTTCTTTCGAATAAATATCATAATGAACATTATCATTGTTTGTAATTTTTTCTTAGTTAGGTATCAACGTAGATGGCATTTCTTTAAGTTTCCCTTCATATTGTTTAAAATTAAAGGATAGTATAGGCTATTGTTGTTGCAGTGATTTGTGTTACACAGATAAATATTTGTGTTACACCGCCCTGAATTTTTGTAATGGGTAATGTATGCAAAATAGAAAGTGTTGCCCCTCAAAAATATAGTTTTTGTTATATTCTCATAATTTTATAATAAACTTATCATAAAAATTAAAAAAGATTGAACATGAATTTGTGTTTTACTAAAATATATAATGTGTAGTGAATAGTAAATAAGTGGAACTCAAAAGACATAAGTTTATTTACGTGAATCATATTATATCTAGAAATTACTCCATCCGTCCCGAAATTACGGTCTATTTTTTATTTTTGGTTTGTCTCAAAATAATAGTCCACTTCTAAAAATAAATAACATTTTTACGAAAAATACCCCTAATTATTACTTAACCAACTAAGAATTTAATGGAACATTAAATGCAAAGTAATAACAAAACTATCATTTTATTATATAAAGTTAGTGGTAATTTTTGCTTTCTTAATCTGTGTGTTTTTTATCTGTGGACAATAATTTTGGAACTGAGGGAGTATATATAAATATATATATATATATATATATATATATTATATATATATATATATATATATATATAGTCCTCATCCGATCTTGTTTCTATATAGGGTCCGGTTCCTGTGAGGACTCATTTTAAAGTGAGGACTCGTGAAGACACTTTAAAAAATTGAAAAAGAAAATACAAATCATAAAATCGAGCATAGATCTATGTCCGGGAGAAAAAAAATTAGAATTTTTTTTTTTTGCATTATTAAATTTGATCCATGATTCAATTTTATTTTTTTATTTTGCATCATTATTATCCATGATTCAATTTTAATAATCCAAATTTTTTTTCCAATTTTTTTTTCTCCCGAACATAGATCTATGCTCGATTTTATGATTTGTAGTTTTTCTAGATTTTTTTTCAATTTTTTTAAGGTGTCCTCACGAGTTTTCACTTTAAATGAGTCCTCGTCCGATTCTGTTTTATATATATATATATATATATATATATATATATATATATATATATATATATATATATATATATAGTGGAAAGTGAAATATACATTACAGCCTCATCTAAGCTTAGGTACTAAACCTCGTAAAAATATGTTCTTTTACTATATAAAGATTGTGTTTATGTGATTCATGCTTAACACTTGAAGATGTAGATTCAAGATCGATGCAATAGTTTTGATAAGGAAGCAAAAATATTGATTATATTCGACTTTTGTGACAGTGAAAAAAAGTAATGTTCATTGGGGTGAAGTAATAAACGATAATGGAGGAAAGAAAATAGAGATGATAAAATGATAACGGAGGAAAGAAATGTTATCGAAGATGGTATATTTACCAAGTTAAAACCAAATCGGGTATATTTACTAAGTTAAAACAACATATTTTAGAGGTTTAGTACCTAAACTTAAGTGGTACTATAATGTATATTCCCTATATATATATATATATATATATATATATATATATATATATATATATATATATTTGTAATAAGACTACAAATCAAGGTATTTATTTATATATAATTATTAATCTATCTTATCCGTGATTATATATATATATATATATATATATATATATATATATATATATATATATATATATTAAATCATCGGTAACATAAATTAATAATTATATATAAATAAATACCTTGTAGTCTTACTTATTGATTATATACCATGATTCATTTAAGTTTTCCATGATGATTCTATGTAAACAATCATTTGTATTTATCGCTTATGAAATGAGTAATATAATAAAAGATTTAACATTAATTTATAAAATGAATCATGATAAACATAGATGAACCATGGATTTCTTTTAAGACAAAAAACGTAAGATAAATTATTAAAATACTTTGACATACAACTTTTTCCAAGTGTTTTTTTATTAAACTTGTGGTTTTAGGTGTATGTTTCAATCTTTTGAATAAAATATCATAATGAATATTTTCATTTTTTTTTATTTAGTTAGGTACCAAAAATGATGTTAAGGACATCAAAAAGGATCTCATTTCATCACCTTGCCCAACATATTGCTTACAAATACCGCCATTATACTGTTGTTGCAGTGATAAAAGTTCTTGTTACACCGCCATGAACTCGTGTATCGGGCCATGTAAGAAAAGGGGAGTGTGTTGCCCCTCAAAAACATAAATGATGTAATATTCGGATAATTATGTACTAAACTGAATATAAAAATTATATAATAAAAGTTTAAACATAAAATTGTGTTTTTGTTGGAGCACAATATGTTTAGTAAATAAATTTAGAGAGCACCCATGGTACAATTGTTATGGGTAGAATTTTTTTACTCTTTTATCTTGATATCTTGGACTTATACTATCATCTCGGGCAAGCCCAAGATCTTGGACTTAATCAATATTGGACTGTCATCGTGTTTTTTATAATATCTTGTGGTGGAACTAAATGCTTGACTTGAAAAGAGTAGACCAAGTCGATAATACAAGGTCAAAGCCTTGTGAAAGTTGAAGACTATCGAGAAATTCGGGTCAAGTATGGATCAAGAAAAATCCTAAGAATGTCAGAATATTAGTTATTGTTGTTGTATATAATGACTAGCTGATCATTGGTCACACACACATTCTCACTGCTACTTTCACTCTGATTCTCTCTCGACACTTGAGCATTTCTAAACCAACTCTAAGATTAGGTAGAACTTGTAACTTTATTTCGATTTAAAGGAGGTGATTCGAGGTTTTATGTCAGAGTTCCAAAAGCATTAAGGGTCTTCCTCGTAATTTGTTGTGTTCTTGCATTTACTTTCATTTAGCTATTCTTGTTTGATCGATAACAACTTATTTATTTATTTACCTGATTATTAATCCGTCTTGATTATGAAAGTTATTAAGATATTTTCCGGTATGTTGGTATCTTTTTGAGTGTTTTGATATTTATTAACTAAATTCACGTACTTAACAAATGTAACACTATTTTTGTCCCAAATACTTCAAATACACACATTTACATTTCAAAATAAATTAAATTTTACCAAACAGTTTTCTGAGTCTCATCGTTTCTGTAACATCCATAAAATTCTTGAAAATTTTAAACTTTTTAAATAAACCCCAAACTATCATTGTTTTCAAAATATGTTTCAACATCAGATAAATCCCAAGATCATAAAAATAAAACACGAGGAGGTGCACGATCACGCATTCGCCTTCCCGCGGTCATCTGAGGTACCTGAAACATAATCCAAAACTGTAAGCTCAAATCTTAGTGAGTTCCCCCAAAATATCGATACATAACAAATAGCACAAATATAATAACAACATGTAATGGGTCCACAGCTTAACAGACTGGGTTACCCCTGAGCCCAAAACATATGTCTCGGTTTCCCCACGGGCCCACAACTTATGTCTGGCTTGCTCCCCGGTCTGATCAGTTATTAGACTGAATACCGCTAAGCCCTCAGTACGAGTCTGGCATGCCCTTCCCGGCCCTCAGCTTATATCTGGAATGCTCCTGAGTCCTCAGTATGAATCTGGCATGCCCTCCCTGACCCTTAGCTCATAACTGGCATACTCCAGGGTTTGTTGGCTACAACATAAAGTAGTACTACCTCAACCCACCCACACAATATGTCGACATATAACAAATAATATCATATACAGATAAACAGACAGTATCACAGGTAGTCCTACAGACCTACCAGACTAGCATATAAATCTAGCATGCATATCTAATCCATACTCAGCATATCATAATACTAGGTTATCAAATCAATGGGTCGGCCTTGGTGCCGTCGACCCCTTAGTATAGTGAGGAAACTCACATCGCAAATGTCAAGCTACACTGAAATCCCAGATTGCTAACTCACGGAAAATCTCGAACTATCACAGTAAACAAACATCTAATTAATAATTGGAATGCTATCCTTGACTAAGGACCCATACTTAGGGTAAATGTCCATTTTACCCTTTCCCTAACTTGGCCAAGGCCCAAGTCAAAATCTTGATCCAAAAGGCCCAAAATACTTCAAGGCCCATGATTGGTCCAAGCCCATTGGGCCCACTAAGGCCGAATATACAATACTAGGCCCAATAGATCAAGTCCAACAAGGAGTCCAATACTTCAAAATCCTTAGTCCAACATGGGTCCAAACTACTAAGCCCAAAACCCAAAAATCAAGTCCAAGGAAAAATTCCAAGAAGCCCACTGATTCTTCGAACGTGCGGCGTTCCCTGGTGGAGCGTTGGGCGTTCACCACCAATCCCAGATCGCGAATCATAGCCGGAACGTTGGGCGTTCCTCGACCCAACGTAGGGCGTTCGCACACTGACTTCACAAAAAGAATATTAAGCACTTAATTCTTAAAGCCAGTCGACAAAATCATGGATCCAAGTCTTAAAGAGCATCTAGAACCATAAAGTCACTGACTTGGTGACTTTGTATGCCTCAAAAGGTCCCAACTCCAAAATATAGCATTCAACTTCCATATAAGGGATTAATCTCATGCATGGGGCTTATACAACTTTAAAGATGCAGACTTTATGAATCTACAATCTCATAAACGCCAAGAGGAGCAACTCAAAGCCTCATAACTGATCACAAACTACTAGATCTCAACTATGGGACCAAAAGGGACTAACATCCATGAAAACCTAGATCTAAGCTTTTCATGAGCAAGATTAGAGCTTTATACCTAAAATGAGTTGGAAATGAAGCAGAGATTCAAGATCTTTGAGCTCATTCTTGAATCACCACCTTTCACCAAGCTTCTCCTCCTTGAATGAGCTTCAAACACACACAAAAACACGCACAATGGGCTCACAACACTCTTGGAGGCTCCAGGGTTTCGAGATTAGGGTTTGGGAGCTAAGGAGGCAGGAAATGAAGCCAACACCTAGGACTTAAGGTGTTTAAATATGTCTTAAACCATAAAAATTAGGGATTGAGCTCCACGCGTGAACGCTCTGCGTTCCCCAAGGGAGTGCCCCGCATTCGAGCTCCGCTTCCGAAAATACAAATTTGGCAGAAATGGTCCCTCCTGCCGTTCAAATTTGCAAAACAAGGCCAAAGGCAATAACTAAATATACAAGGGACCAAAAATGGAAAAATACCTGGATCGGTTGTTACAATTCTCCCCCACTTGAATTAGACTTCGTTCTCGAAGTCTGCTGCAACAAACAGATCTGGGTAATGCTCCCGCATCTCAACCTCTGGCTCCCAGGTCCACTCGGAGCCCCTCCGATGCTGCCATCATACCTTCACCAGAGGTACTTCCTTGCTCCGCAAAACCTTCACCTTTCTCTCCAAAATAGCTATGGGCTTCTCAACATAGTTCAGGTGCTCATCGACCTAAATGTCATCCAATGACACCACTGCATCCTCATCCAACACGCACTTCCGTAGCTGCGAAATATGGAAAGTACTATGGACCTGACTGAGCTCCTCGGGGAGGTCCAACCTGTAAGCAACCTTGCCAACCCTGACAATAATCCGAAATGGTCCAATATATCGAGGACCCAATTTCCCCCCCCCCTTCCTGAAGCGAATCACACCTTGCCAAGGTGAGACTTTCAACAACACCATGTCACCGACTTGGAATTCCAACTCAGATCGGCGCCGGTCGGCATAAATTTCCTACCGACTCTGAGCAGTCTGCAGTCTATGTCTAATCTTCTGAATCATCTATGTGGTCTGAAGAACCACCTCGGTCCGACCCATGACCCTGTGACCGACCTCGCCCCAACAAACTAGGGTACGACATCTCCGCCCAAACAAAAGCTCAAAAGGCGGTGCACCAATGCTGGAGTGGAAACTGTTGTTGTAGGAGAACTCTACAAGAGTAGGTAGGAGTCCCAGATCCCACCAAAATCAATGACGCATGCTTGCAACATATCCTCGAGAGTCTGAATCGTCCGCTCACTCTGGCCATCGATCTGCGGATGATATGGGGTGCTGAAGTGTAGCCTCGTGCCCAGTTCCTCATGGAACTTTTGCCAGAAACGGGAGGTGAACCGAACATCACGGTCTGAAACAATGGAGACCGAAGCTCCATGGCGAGCAACAATCTCACAAATATACACATCTGCCAATTTCTTGGCCGACGAGCTCTCCCGAATCACCAGGAAATGGGCACTCTTGGTCAATCGATCCACGATGACCCATATAACTTCAAAACCCTTTGCCGTCTTCGGAAATTTGGTGATGAAGTCCATCGAAATCTGCTCCTATTTCCACATGGGAACCTCCAGAGGCTGCAACTTGCCATGCGGCCTCTAATGCTCAGCCTTAACCATCCTGCAGATCAAGCACCTCTCAACGTACCAGACGATCTCCCTCTTCATTCACGACTACCAATTGCTCAAACGTAGATCCCAGTACACCTTGGTGGCCCCCGTATGAATAGAAAAACAAGACTTAAGATCCTCCTCCAGCACAATCTGTCTAACTCCACCGGACATAGGAATCCACACCCGACCGCAACGGGTCAACAAACCACGACTGTCTGGAACAAACTTGGTGATATCGCCCCTGATTCTCTCAATCTTCCAATTTTCTTCCTATACACCCTCGGCCTGAGCCTCCCTAATCAACCCCACAAGCAGATAATCCACAAATATCCTTATACAAGACACCCTAATAGAAGGTCCAGCCGACTTGTGGCTCAAGACATCCGCCACCACATTCACTTTACCCGGATGGTAAAGGATCTCGCAGTCATAATCCTTGATTACGTCCAGCCAACTGCGCTGCCTCATGTTCAGGTTCGGTTGATCAATAATATGCTTCAAACTCTTGTGATCCTTGTAGATAGTATAGCAGACCCCATAAAGATAATGCCTCCAAATTTTGAGAGCAAAAAACACCACCCCCAACTCAAGATCATGTGTGGCATATCTCGTCTCATGCGGATTCAGCTTCTGCGAAGTATAAGCTATCACTCGTCCTCTCTGCATAAGAACTGCCCCCAACACGGTGATGAACGCATCACAAAAAACCAAAAAATCTTTGATCTCCTCCGGGAGGGTCAAAAATGGGTCCTCGCAAAGTCTCTGTCGAAGAGTCTCGAATCCTGACTGTTGCTCAGGGCCCCACCGGAAATCTACCCCCTTCCTCGTCAGAAGAGTGAGGGGTACTGAAATTTTGGAGAAGTCCTAAATAAATCTCCAGTAGTACCCTGTCAA